GTTCTTCTGTTAATAGGGGAGGGGGCAGCTCGAAGTAGCACTGTTGGCACTACTTTAATCGATTGGAACATCCTGTATTTATGGTGGTATTTACCTTGCTGTTCTTTGGCTAAGACAAAGTTAACATGGCCAAAGACATACATGATAAAATGGTTTTCCCAATGATTCACCCAGGTTAATTAACTTCCGTGTAAAACATTAGTACTGTAGTATTAAATAATCAACACTAATGGGCCATACCGAAGGAGGTCATTAAGTAAGACTCCATAGGAATTCAGGCACACAAGAGGTAAGACAGAGAAAGGATAAGAGAGGAAGAGGAAAGGACAGAGAAAGCAGACAAAAGGAAGAAAGGACCATCATTTTCATCATTCTTTTCTCATTTCAAAGCTAAGTAATTGGAGCTATCCATTTTTAATTAGTCTTGGAAGCAGATTTTCTCTCTATGTAATCTGAGTATTAATATAAGATAACATGCTATTTTATTTATTTTCACAAATCATGTTTTCCTGTATTGTGAAATCCTCAAGCAAAAAAAAATACCTTTAGAGAGAAATGTATTATTGGGTAGAATCTATTTTATTACTGCAGTAACTCATTACATTGAGGAGAAATTCATACCATCCAAAAGGACAGTGAGGTTGCAATCACCCTCCACCTTATTTTAAGGATGAGCCAAGATGCTGAGTGAAGATGGGGTGTAGAGAGGAATGCAAAAACTAAACTGTGCAAGTTGTAGGTAAGTGATATGTATTGAGCCAGCTATTCAGAATGCATGGCAAATAATGAAGCAGAACCTCATCTAATTTAGTACTCATGAATCTTGGGAAAGAACATGGTGTTTGTTGGATGACAGTTTCAGTCCTGCAAAGCTAAGCACTGACCCCTTAGCTCAATGCCAGAGCAGGATAATTCCCAGCTTGAGAGTGGGAGGGTCTCCCAGAGTATGACAGCTTTTTTTTACGATAATGGCAGCAAGTATAGAAAAGGTTAAAACATTATAGAGGTCGAAAAACTTCGAAAATAACCACAGTAAGTGACTGAGTCAAATACTTTGATGCAGAAAATGTTTATGAAAAAGGTTGGATAATTTTGCATGCTTTATTTTTTTTCCACTACCACTATTTTTTTATTTTCCACTACCAGCTTTAAATAGTATGTATAATATATGCATATTCCTAAATTAATATTGTTTATGACATTTAGAGATTTTATGCTTCTGTTATTTTTATTGTCAGCCATCAAAATTTCCCTTTACTTACAAAATTCCATTTTAATATTCCATATTAAGGTGATTTAAAGATGGTAAACAGCAGGGAAACAGATTAAATGTAGCAATCATTTCACTAATATCTTATGCACCACAAGTATCACCTATCGATCATCTTTGCCCAGCAAATCACACAACATACCTTGCTGCAGTACAGCCAACATGTTACTAAGAATGAGTGGTTGCATCTGTGCATGCATATATGTAGAGTTGGGCATAATTAGAAATTGTATTCCTCCTAAGCTTTAGTTTTAAACCACATATAAGGTCCATATGTTCATCTAGATCCCCAAACTAGTCTGTGTTGATGTCCTTCCTAGCAAGCCAAGCTCTTGTAGGTTCCCACATGGTATTCAGCAATGTTTTTACAAAGCTGTGTTTACAAAAAGGTGATATAGCCACAGTGGACAGGTCAAACTAGCATGTAAAGCATGTCTCATCTCGGACATGGCCTTATATCTAAGAATCGGCTCTTTCAGTTTATCTACTATCTTTGGAGAGCCTACTATGTTTGGATGCACTTCAGCTGAATTAGCTTTTATCTTGTATTGATCTCTGCTGTTTCCACTGATTCACAAATCCATGTCCATTATTCCTGCAGGAGAGGGGCTCCCAGATGTCGCTCCTGCTTCAATTTTAGGTTTTCAAGTGTCTGGGTATTGCTGTCATGAAAAACCCAGAGAGAACTGGCAACATTTTGAGCTTAATCTTGTCCACAAAAGAGAAGCAAACAGAACAAAGTCTGTATTGATTTCCTTTATGGTGAGGAAGGGACAAGGAAGATGGGGTATGTTTAAACAATTAAAGAGTTTTGGTGCTTACTTAAATATTTTATGGTGGTTTACATACTCAAAATTGATTATAATCTCTTATTACAGTAAATATGTGATTTGCCTTTACATTTAATTCTAGCAGCAATCTTCTTTCTGCTGTCTTTTCTTAACATTTATTTTTTATATCTAATGGAGAAATGCCATTACAGAGCAATAATAAGCATCAGAGTAGTGTTGTAAGCTTGAAGTTGAGAAGGCCTTAGTTGACTGAATTCCCTGACATTTTTGGAAGTGGAGCTGTTTTTACTGGAGTGTTTTGAACTATAAAGCACATTTTCAAAGCTTCATCTCTAAGCATGAATCTCTTGTGACTGTTATGGAGGTGCTGTCATATGTGAGCTGTCATTACTGAAAAACAATCTGGAGAGGCCAGTACTATGAAGGTTACACTTTGGAAGGCTCAAAGAATAACAAATTGATTTATTTTTTCACAAGATCCTTTTTCAATACAATCTAATGAATTTCTTCAAAAAAGATGGACAATAAAATTAGAAAAAACATATAGCACTAATTTATTCACCAACATAAGAAATTCAGTTCTGATTAGTGCATGCATAAAATCCCTGAACATGTTGGCCAAGCAGTCAGGCTATTGTTTGAATGTGCTATTTTGGCAGAGTACACAAAAAGTGTAGTTTTTTATTTTAAGTGATAACCACAGTCATGGTTCTTAATTGCTGTCTCAAAGTTGTCATTAGTCATTAGGATCCCCTGCTGTTGCTATACTGAGTATTATGTTAAAAAGATTCTTCTAATACATTTGCAATTCATGCAACAACCAGGTAAAACTACCAGGTGGAGCTAATAAAGCTTAACGTCTCATATACAGCATTTGAGCTGTCGCCAGAAAATGTCCGGTTTCAAATCACCATCACTGCTGAGGGACAATCTTTTTCCAATTAAGAATTTAAGTTGTATACTCTTTTAATAATTTTAATCTGTGTACCACAGCATGTTAATCATTAAACATTAAAAAGTGTGTATATTTTATAAAAGCAAAATTGCCATATACCACATGTAAGACTTTGATGCTTAAAATATTTAGGCATCAAAATATTACATATACAATATTACTAATAGTATTAATAATGGATGACTTTGGACAAGCTTTATACTCAAAGTATATTTTCTTTAGCACATTTGTACAAGCACTTGGAATCTGTCCAAGCCATACTTTGTCAGGCATTTTGTTTTACTTCAACGGACATAAAAACTCCCTTGCTTTAAACAGGGTGTTTCATAATTTCTAACTACGAAAATGATTTAAAATGTGACACAGATCCTCAAGAGCACAGCAAAGACTGTATTAAAAGATACTTGTATGTATCAACGCTTTCTTTTCCGTATACCAGATTTTATGGAACCACTTCAGAAGGGTGTCAGCCAGTCAGATTCCAGGAATCGGTACTTTAAAGGAAAAATACACACCGGTATTCCATTTCTCCCTAACGATTTTAAGCATCGAAGTATTTAACTAGCATGTGAAATAGCGTGTGAAAAAGCGGTAGTTTTAAGCTTTTCTGCTAATATAATATGGAATCGCGTATCTAAAGAATTTAATAATGATATGATTATATTCGTGTACTGCGACAGGGCTGTGTAGGGCTGTTTAGCCTCTCCCTTCATGCGACTTCCCTTGTAGCTTACTGGTCCACGTGCCCGACTACCAACTCACAGGTTGTGTGTTTAAATCCCGCTGGTGCTGGGCTTTTCTTTTAACAAACATTTCTTCGAAAAAATAGAATAGAGATATTATGGACAATCAATTGACTTTTATATTTCAAAATATCACAACATGATCGATTCTAAGTCATTTTTGATAACAATGAATAGTCACCTTCTTTCCTTCTGACAACGGTCCCTGCTTCTGCTTCCAGCTTCTATTGTGTGTGTGTTAGCAATAGAGTAAATTTTTATAGAGAAATGTAGGCTGGACAGTATGCGTTACAATATAAACATTTATATTGATTTAAATCATGTTCTGATTTAAATCGCAAACGCGTGTTTAATTATATGTGTTTTTTAATCATAATCAGGTTAATGCAACATAAATTGATACAGTATCTTTGTCTTCTAAGTTATTAATAAACTTTCAGCATAGCTTTCTACCCGTTTAGATTTATATTTCTTGGGATTTTAAGATCAAACGTGGAAGGATTAGATTGTAATCGTTTTTATTTTTCAAATACGTGATTGTATTTCTGAATGTTATGTTACACCTACAGTAGTTCACTGCTTTAAATACTAGAGGAAAAAAGCGCCTCCTTCTACGAAGCATTTCGTTGATCGCTGATTCTTATGGAATGTGTCCCGCCGGGAATTCAAAAAAAAAATTTTTTTAATCGCGTATCTAAGGAAAATTGCAGTATAACTTTGTTCATGCACATCATTATACAGTATCTCATTTTGTATTTCGATAAAAAAAAATAATTTGCCCAGCCACTATTGTTGTTATTGTTTTTATCCTGTAAAGCGCTTTGAGGAGTACAGCTTTCTCACCACTTTCTCACCTTCTCACCACACCATCCTTACACAAAGCAGAAACTGATTGTATTTTCCGATAACATACAAGTGCAAAGATTACAGATTTTAATCGTCTTTTTTCTGAACCAGATTGACTGTCGGCGCCCAGGTCTGACAGTACTGCTCCAGCAGTGCCAGGTTCTGGCACAGCCTCTGTTCTGTGGGCCACAGCGGGACCAGGTCGCCTGCAAAGAGCAGGAACTCGATTTCCATAATTAATGCAGATCAGTAAATCAAGGGCCAAAGCAACTATTGCGCCCGGGTCCTCAATGGGCTTTGACGTGCTAATGCGTTGGTTTAACAGTCCGGGTGTGGCAAGCCTCTAATGTCTCCCGACTTTGGCAAAAGGCACCCACCTTTCATTGAGTGACAATGAACATTCTAGCCGTACATGTGAATATAGCATAAATACACCAAGGGATTGGGTGAGCTCCCATCACAAAAAAAAACTGCGAACCTGCACTACAGTGACCACAGTACAGTATGGAGACCAAGACCTTTTACGGGAAGAGACGGGGTGCTTCTGCCACCCCAGCTTCCAAAGAGCGAAGGGTAAGCAAATACAGCAGACTTCATCTGAAATACGCGATTACAGAGCATATTACAAGGTATTATTGCTGTTTTGAATTTTAAATTCAATTATAATTATTTCATCGTAGCCTGTTCTTCAAGAAAACACCGCACGGGCGAAACGATCTTCGAAATCTACCACCAGGACAGTAAAAAGAAAGCGGTAAGACGGAAAAAAAGAAAAGTTTATTTTGACGTCTGTTCCGCGACTGATGAATACTACTGTGTGACTTTATTTCTTACATGAATTATGTTATTTTGCCACAGGCCGTGGGCCTCTGCTCTGGGCCACTGGCCAGGGTGCCAAGCTGTAGAAGCAGCACCTGTTTGGAGACATTTCGGCAGCAGCGTGAGCAGTACGATGCATTACTGGGGAGGATTGGGAGGCTAAAGACACTCCTGAAAATGCAGAGGAAGGAGACAGTATGTTCCAGCAGTCAAGCAGTTGAGCAGCTGTCTCCCGAAAAGTGCCTCTCCCCGCCGCGCAGGTTGCAATGCCTGGCGGAAGCTCTGCCCCCCAGATGTCCAACTGCTACCCATCACTCAGGAGGAGGGGGGGTTGTACTTGCAGTGCATCGGCATAGACGGGAAAGCAAGAGCCGACCGCTACGCCGCCCTTGTGTTTCGAAATCTTGTGACTTTTGAAATTTACTGGGGGTGGACCACGTCTGTAAATTTCGATGGGTCCAGAGGCAAAAGTGCCTTGCCTTGCAATTTCCGGGAAACCATTAGTAGCATGGTGAATTGGAGATTCTCAACCCTTACTGCCTGCGACTGGAAAAGAATTCATGATCGGATCAACGAAATGCTTCGTAGAAGGAGGCGCTCTTTTCCTCTAGTCTAACAGTCTGTCCACAAACAAAACATTCCTGTTAGACAAGAGGAATTGGAAAAAAAACAATTTTGTCAATGGAAACCGGTGTGTGTCTCTCTCTCTGCTGGATGTCCCTCTCACTCTCTACTGAATGAATAAAAGTATTTTATTAAAAACGCATTTGCGTTTGTCTGGTATTTACTTTGGTCCCTTTTAACTGTTTTTTCGATCTACTGTATTGCTTTGAGATGCCACTTTTAAAGGTGATATGTAAAATAAAGTTTTTTATTATTGTTATAGAGAAACATGATCAGATTTTCCCTGGTTCAGAAAAAAAGATCTAAAGTGCTACACATAACCTTCTTAATTCGATGTATTTAAAGCAGTGAACTACTGTAGGTGTAACATAACATTCAGAAATACAATCACGTATTTGAAAAATAAAAACGATTACAATCTAATCCTTCCACGTTTGATCCCAAAATCCCAAGAAATATAAATCTAAACGGGTAGAAAGCTATGCTGAAAGTTTATTAAGATACTTATAAGACAAAGATACTGTATCAATTTATATTGCATTAGCCTGATTATGATTAAAAAACACATAATTAAACAAGCATTTGCGATTTAAATCAGAACACGATTTAAATCAATATAAATGTTTATATTGTAACGCATACTGTCCAGCCTCCATTTCTCTATAAAAATTTACTCTATTGCACACACACACAATAGAAGCAGGAAGCAGAAGCAGGGACCGTTGTCAGAAGGGAAGAAGGTGACTATTCATTGTTATCAAAAATGACTTAGAATCGATCATGTTGTGATATTTTGAAATATAAAAGTCAATTGATTGTCCATAATATCGCTATTCTATTTTTTCGAAGAAATGTTTGTTAAAAGAAAAGCCCAGCAACAGCTGGATTTGAACACACAAAGTCACATGAAGAGAGAGGCGAAACAGCCCTACACAGCCCTGTCGCCGTACACGAATATAATCATATCATTATCAAATTCTTTAGATACGCGATTCCATATTATATTCCCTATTAATCAAATTCTAAAAGTATGCTTGTTGACTCCGGTATCTCTTTAGTTGAAGACTTCGATGCTTAAAATGTTTAGGGAGAAATGGAATACTGGTGTGTATTTTTTACTTTAAAGTACCAAGACCAGCCATATACTGTATGTTTATGTTCCAAAATTAATATTGTTTATGGCCTTCACATGCGTTACATTATGCTCCTATTCTTTTTATGCTCAGCTACTAAGATTTCCCTTCAGTGGTAAAATTCCATATGAATATTCAATACTACAACGGGCACAGTAAAGACGTTTACTGTACTGTAAATCTTTCTGCGACAGACCAACGGCCCCTGTCGGTCAACCAATCACGTACCGCGGTACCCCGCGTCATCTTGCGTCATGATGGGCGACGCCGCAGCCAATTACCTCCGGTAAGTGTCTGTACCGCGCACTTTGAATGGCTGCATCTGTATGTAAACATATAAACATGCATCTAAACATACAGTCTGTTAACTTCATCATTTTGGTCAAAAGTATGCCTAACCCCATTAGGAAGTGTTCTTGTTATCAGTGTATTCCTCAACTTTCCCCAAATTATATTTTTTCTACGAACATCTCTAGTCTTATATTCTGTAATAACTCAGCCAACACTTAAATCCCCGAAAACTGATTGCGTTAATTTCTATAAATCACAAATATTATATGTAAATACTGGCCATGTAATACTCTGCATTGTGGAATAATAGTTTATTTTAAAGGGAACTAGAGAAATTAGGAACTAGAGAAATCAAGAAAGGCTTTTTTTTCTAGAATTAATAAATGCACATCCTGTTCACTGGGGAATTTAAATCCACACTGAACAATCTCCAATATGTTCAGAATTGGACAGCCAGAATCCTGATCGGGATGAATTATGCCCGTCTTCAAGTCTTTGCACTGGCTTCTTATCAGATTTCGAGTCAACTTCAAATTCCTCATGCTCATTCAGTACCTATCTGGCTTATTCTCTGTCTACTCCCCACCTTTGTCCGTCTGACTCTGGTCTTCTAGTTGTCCTCAAGCACATCTATATTCTGTGGGTGACAGGATCTTCTCTAGCTGCACCCCAGAGCTCTGGATTTGTATCCCCAGTTATATCAGTTACGTACCCTGAGTGCATTTAAATCTAACCTCAAAACCTTTCTTCTCAGAAGACTTAGTCTCTGTATTTGCTTCATTTTCTAATTTTGGTAGCACTTCTAACTGCTTGTCTTTCTTATATATATTTACTTTGTATTCTGTGGTCCTTATATCTGTTTTCATCTACTGTATTGCTTTGAGATGCCACTTTTTAAGGTGATAAATAAAATATATTTTTTATATATTTTTTTGTATTATTGTTATAGAGAAACATGATCAGATTATCCCTGGTTCAGAAAAAAAGATCTAAAATATACTAGTTTGTCACTCTTCTCACACCCTCTTTGTTAAATGGCTTTTCATACTAATCTAATCAATCTAACAGCCTGTTTTCTGTACTTTCTCTATCCTGCTAAATTTATAATTGTTCTAAAAAGTTACTTTTTGTATGACTCATTTCTAAATACCTGATTTCACTGTTAACATCTTGCAGCAACTCTGCGACAAAATAAATACTTAGCTCAACTTGACAGTTCATCCTGCTACCAACTTTGAATTATATTTATGTCTTTATTTAGTGGTTTCATTAGTGACAAAGGCTAAACTTTCTTGAAAAATGTATTTTATGTGTTGCGAAAAACTGACTTGCTTTAACAAAATATAATTATAAATCCTTTTGCCTGACAATCTACCTAAATGCCCAACTATCTGAGAAGCCCTCCATGAAACCATGTTGCCTATTTATTCATTTAAGGCTCTCTGACAGAATTGCTGTTTTTTATTCATGCTAATTTTCTGATTCCTCACTTTCATGTTTGCATGTTCTTTTGAAACATACACCTTTCTGTGATTTTTTGTATATCTGAGCAAATGTTCCTGCATCCCTCTTCTGCACTATGTATAATCATGGCTTTTTTCTGTTTGCTTATTTCAAAGTAACACCTGCTCCACTTCTAAAAGTTTTTGCTCATGTGCATTTATGCATTTTTTACACCTCTAGCACTTTAACGTCCTAAATTTTCATTTGCCTTAATTTGTAGACTGAATTTTAGTTTTATCCTTGAAAAGTTTTCACTATCTTTTGTTTCTTTTTCCACAACTGCTATGATTGATCACCAAATCATTGTATTTGACATGACTTCTTTCATTCATCCTTTCCTGAACGTTGTAGTGTGCTCTCTGAAGGCACCAGTTCTGTAGGGTTTGGGCATTTACTGGGACAATTATTAATTGTAGCAGTAAATCACAAAATTGATTCTTTTGATGGCTTTAGAAGAGGACATACGTTCAGTATATCATTCATTTAGACCATTTCGTAAATGAACTTGGTTACAACATCTACATTAGA